TTTACTTTGCTCAAGACCCATCTATTGGCAAAAGATGGTGAGTATTTACTTTATTTAGTACTGTAATACAAAAATCGTAACACTTGGCATGTACTTACTCTACTTCCTTTCTGCTTATTTAAGCTATAGTCAGGCACTGTGCACTAGCTCTCTGAGCTCCTACCGGCTGTAGAAGGGAGAGATCTAGTATAAAATCTTAGCACCCATAGCTCCAAGCCCAAGAGCTCTCTGGCCTACAGGATTACATCCAAGGCAGCAAACATCAGGCAAAGCACAGTAAACATCTAGATTATATGCAAACCTCAGTTTCTTATGTATTAACTTGTCTGTGTGAGGACCAACAGGCTGGACACACAAGGCAGTTGTCAGTCTCATGCTGTTCACCTTAGCCCAACCACGATGCAGATGAACACTTTCTAACCATTACCAACTAGCCTTACCAAGCTTGAAAGGAAGTTAGAGACTGGATTTTTCTGCCTTGGGTTGTAGAGCATGCACCCTTTCTCAGGTGTGCTTGACTTTGCACTTAGCCTAAGCTATACCCTTGGGCCAGTCTATCTAGTTAAGTGAAAATCAACCTGCTATTTGAAACAGAAATACCTGTCAATAAGTTGCATCCAAGACTTAGGAAAGTTTATCTCGTAGCCCCTGGCTCATATCTACACTTACGTGAACAAAGTGACTATGATAAAACAAAGGTGCTTAATAAGCTATCAGAAGTTTGTACTGTAGCCCTTCTTCAGGGCAGAAGGTTTGCTTGTCTTTGCTGTGCATGACATTGAATTACAGCTAGCTATGGAGTCAAGTGCAGGAGTTGGAGTCCAGCTTTGGACAGCCAGCATGAAAGGAAAGACGACGCTGCAGGAGTGAGTTTCCAGTTGGTTTCTCAGCATACATCTTCCAACAGTAAGCCTTTTTAGCATGAAGACTTGCTGAAATGACTCTCACTGTATCTGAGAGATTGCTAGTTCTGTCAGTAGCATCAGCACTCCAGTTAGGTATTGGCTTTGTAGAAACTGTAAGAAGGAAAAAAAAAGCATGTCAAAACAAGAATTGCAGTTGCCATATTTCCACACCCTTAAATGGCTAGAAACCAACTATCCAGTGTTCTGTGTGATTATTTAGCTTCTCTGTTGCTGTTTGCAAAGTACCTTTGTTACTATTTTAACCTTGGATATGGAGAAAGCACATGCCTACATTCTGCTCCTTTCAGAGCCCTCTGACTTCTGCTCCTGTCGCGTGTGAAGCAGGGTACCTAAGAAATGCCCTGCTCCTACTCCAGCTTTTTGGAAGGGGAGAATCCTAGGACTTCTGCTCCTTTAGCTACCTCCCTCCTTCTGTAGGAAGGTGACTAGGCCAGTTTCCTTGAATACCCATATTTTCCCATACTGAATCTATGTCTGACTTGAACTCATTATCCCTATTATGGAAGAGCCATAACTGAATTTACACAACATACTTTCCAGAAGAGAACCCTTCTTCAGAAAGCCTATTCAGTTGAGTGTCTCTCATGTTTACTTACCTGCAACATAGAAAGTTGTTTCAGCCACTTTTAAAAAACAGGCAATGTAACACTAACAGTTAGTGGCTTGCAGTTGTCCTACCAAAGGCTGAAATTGTTAAGAGATGCCTCCCAGCAAAGCTTATTTTCTTTCCTTTGATGAACTCACACTCCAGGAAAGAGGTACATGAGTGGGGGCCCAGTTGTAGCCTCTAACATTCCCTCTGTACCCAGAACAATGAAGTCAGCACATCATAGACAGACTAAATGTAAGCAATTGTATTCACACAAACTGTTCTTTAACTCAGAAGACCATATTGTAGTGCTTGAAGAAACTTCAGAAAGGATTAATTCTCTATGGTTTTAAAGTATATTATAGATGCCTCTATAAGGAGACCAGCACCTTTATGAAAAGGGTTACAAGTGAAATAGTTTTAAACAATATATTTTGACACTTAAGATCATCTGTTGAATCTTGGCTCACCCACACACCATTTTTTTTATATAGCAGGTAATTATATGCATCTTCTGTCTGTATCTTAATAACTGCGATACTAGAAAACTAATTAACTTTTTAAAGATTTTTTTATTAAGTTTGGGATCTTTTAAGCCTAAGTTTTGGCCAATGGGCAAAGAAACTTTCCTGTTAATGCCATAGCTAATACACCTATTTCTAGCCCACGACTAGGGTTACTAGCTTCTGCTGCAATATAGTAGTAAAATACTGGTGCTCTAACACCAGAACTAATTATGACTAAAAGCTGAGGGTTTAACTAACTTCTTGCAGGAAATTATGCATAAGAAACATGAAACCTTCATTTTTAAGAGTAAGGCATTTCTAGTCAGGTACAACTATTTTATTTGTCCAGCATTAGTTAGGACAACATGCTACTTAAACTCACCTTTATAATCCCATCACAGTGTGCTGAGGCAATTGCTGTAGAAACTTTCACCAGTTTTGTAGCTGACAAGTGGATCTTAAAGTGTCTGTGGAAGTGAGAGTAAAGGCAGTCCATAAAGACATCCACCTCTTCTTGAGTGATCTCTCCTGGAGTTTTTTGGACTGTGTCCCACAGAGCTTTTGCATCCTCTGGATGAATGGCATATGAAATATCCAGAGGCTGGGGCAGATGGGGGACAGAGAAAACAAGTTCCATGGCACATGCAGTTTTGTCCACTTTGCATCCGGTCCACATAGCTGCCATCCAACTGAGATGGAGAGGGCTGATGGCTAAACGGCGGAAGCAGCAGTCAAAGGTCTTCTGAAACCAACTTCCAACAATGGATGTGTAACTCTCTGCCCCGTTAGCAAGAAACAAAGGTAAACAAGTGAAGTCCTCTGGCACGTTCTCAGAAAGATCATCTCCAGACACACAGCAGAACCAGCCCGACCATATGAGTTTCTCTTCCGAGTTTTTTGGGGAAGCCGGTGATCTCGAAGAAAGCTGGGATAGGGAGAAGCAGCATTTGAATGCTACAGAGCAAGTTTGACTTTTTTTAGCCAAAGATGGTTTCTGGTTTATAATTTCAAGTGTTTGGTAGAAAATTTTTCTCAGGGCCTTGCATGCAACATTATTTTCTGTAAAGCTCATGCAGTTACTCAGTCTATCCATTACATCCCTAAAAGATGTGGGCAATTCTGTCAAAAACAGTGGGAAAAACACTTTTTAACTTCACTGGGAACAGTCCTGACATCTGAGTTAATGCTGCTTAAGAAGATCCAATCTGTGGTATGTCCTATAACCATTGCCATACTGACCTTGGCATTTCAGTAGCATGTTTCGCTTAAGGCAAAGCATTTCAGAAATACTAATTAGACTTGAGCTATGGCCAGGAGGTAGGATTTTACCAACATTATCCAGAAAGCTAAATAACCTGTCTGACTTCTCGCAGTAAATTGACTACTGAACTAGAAAGTTGGACAAAGATTGCTCCTTATAGTCTTACTCTGATCTCATCAGAGAGTTGAACTCAAAATTGCAATTAAACCTATCCATTGCTTATGAGATGTTCTGTTCCAGTTAAAAATAGACAGGACTCACTTTCATTAAATCTCAACAGATACTACAGTAATTACTCCATACAGCTAGGGTTTAGGTTTTTTTCTTAAAAGACAGAGCAAAAGCAACTTGTAAAATGCCAGTCTCAATTATAATTATCAAAACTGCTAGGAAGACTCCATACCTGCACCAGAATCGCAGCCTGGTCTTGGTCACTACCTTTCAGGTCTGGAAGGCTGGAGACAGCCACTTTGATGTCTAGCTCAACGCCTATTTCCACCGCCAGTCCTTTCTGCTTCTCGGCAGCAATAAAAGCACTAAGCAGTCTCGCGTAGTCCCTCAGCCGAGCATTGGAGAATCTGTACAGAGGGGTGACGCTGTATAAGGTCCACTGCTTGCGCAGCAGAAACGCTGTTCTCTGGGGGTCTGCGTTTTCCTAATTTAAAAAAAAAAAAAATAAGAAAACAATATTAAAACCCAACAAACAAGGATAGCTTCTCCCTTCAGGGCTTGCAGAGGGCCCGCAGGGCCCGGGCTCCCTGCCCGAGCAGGGATGGTTTTCCCGCCTAGCAGCACCGAGCAGGAGGCAGCGGCGCTGAGGCGGCGGCGAGTCCCGCGGACGTGGGGAACGGAGGGGAGCGAGCGCGGGAGAAGCGCCGGCACCGGCGGGGCAGCCCAGCT